TACTTTGGACATATTGTCAGGAGGGACCAGTCGCTGGAGAAGGATACCGTGTTTGGTAAGGTGGAGGGTCAGAGAAAAAGTGGAAGACCCCCATCTAGATGGATTGGCAAAGTGGCAGTATCAATGGGCTCAAGCGTGGCAACAATAGTGAGGTTGGCCCAGGATCAGGCAGTATTTTGTTCTGCTGTGCATAATGTCGCTGTGAGTTGGTACCGACTCGATGGCACCTAACAACAACAACAACAACCATCAACATTCAGGGAAGCAGCAGCCAAGAAATCAAGCTTCGTATTGCATTGGGCAAATCTGCTGCACAAGACCTCTTTAAAGTGTTCAAGAGCAAAGATGTCAGCTTGAGGACTAAGGTGCGCTTGACCCAAGCCATGGCATTTTCAAGCACTTCATATTTATGTGAAAATTGGATAGTGAATAAGGAAGACAGTAGAAGAGTTGATGCAATTGAGTTACGGTATTGGGGGAGAATATTCAAAGTACCATGAGCTATCAAAAGAACAAACCAATCTGTGTTGGACGAAGTACAGCCAGAATGCTCCTTGGAATCCAGGGTGGGCAGACTTTGTCTCTCATACTTTGGACATATTATCAGGAGAGACCAGTCCCTGGAGAAGGACATCACGCTTGGTAAAGTGGAAGGTCGGAGACAAAGAGGAAGGCCCCCACCAATATGGATTGGCAGTGACAGCAACATTGGGTCAAGCATAGAAACGATTTTGAGGCTGGCACAGAACTGGACAGTGTTTTATTCTGTTATGTATAGGGTTGCTATGAATCGGTACTGACTCAATGGTACCTAAGTACAACACCATACTTTCCCTTAACCCTTTCTGGCTCTCAGTTTGGAGAATTTCCCAGCAATGATCTTTGATACCATCTTGAGTTGGTTATATAGAAAGCTCTCAGGATTGGACTTTCTGAATTTTGGAGTCCTGGTGTGGTTCTGTAGAACCTCAAGGCCAGCAGTTCAAACTCATTAGCCACTCCTTGGAAACCCTATACAGGGTCACTATGAGTCAGAACTGACTTGATGGCATTTAACAAAACAAATACCCACTGAATAATACAAACTTTTCATACCACTTTATTGAATAATATAATTATCATTTCTATAAGCAATGGCAAAAAAAAAGATAATGTAAAAAATTAGTAGAAACTGGAGGCGGAGCTTGATGGTGGATTATGGAGAACTGCTGTGCAGACCTCCACCAGTAATAACACAGAATATGGGTTGAAGAAGGTTCAAGATAGTCCCAGTACTGTGAACTATGTGTAAAGGAATATTTAGAAGGATCGAAGGTTTACTGCTAGTGAGATTTGCGCCAGAAGCAAGTTGGTGTGTTTTGATCTGCAGCTGCCGATGGGTCCTGGAGCAGCCTTCTTTGGCATGACAGAACTGATTTACTATACCAGGGCTAACCTGGCGGGAAACAGTCACGAGTTCCTGTTCGCAGGCGCGTCCCTTTGCACAGGCGCACTGGGTCCCATCGGGACCTAAAGAGCAGAGCTACCTGACACTCTGGTGGGTCAGCGGCAGCATAGAGCGGCCAAGTGGTCAGGATGGACTCTGAGGGTAGTGGCGGTGAGGACCGCCAGAACGGTGCTTGTGGTGCAGGTGGTCCTGGCAACCCTGGGGGCGCGAATGTGGCGGGAGCTGAGGACGCTACAGGCGGCGGAGCTCCCCAAGCCCAGGGGCCCTCGGTCGGCAATGAGTCGGGTGCGAACGCGTCTTCCGGGGAAGGGGCGTCCGAGTCCACAATTTTGGAGTTGTATCCTTTCTCAGGGGTCGTGTTGGCGAGGG